CAGACTGCAGAACTGACACGGTGGAACAGCTCACTTACCATGTTCCCAAGACAGTACTGACAAACTTAGGTCTGACGATACACAAAACAGAGTAAATTATTCTGTATCAGAGTGAGGAAGAACAAGAGTGAAATTAGATAATGATTGCTAGGTGGGAAATAACAAAAACTGGAAGAAAAGAAAAAATGTTCGTATTTCTGAGAGTGTTAAAACATCAGAGACTAGAGAAGGTATTAAATAATGTGTTTTAGTTTTATGTATAAAAATAAATGTGTTGGTTATCAGAAGATAGCATTTTACAGTTGTTTACCGTTGTTGTCTTTATAGTTCATATAATACATACACATTTCAGAAACTCCTGGTTTTAATTGAATTTCCAGTTGTGTTGCAATTAAATTACATTACTGAAATTTTCTGTATATTATTTTAATGACTGGGAATTCTGAATAAGTAAAAACTTCTTGAGAACTTTTCTTAAGCTTTTATATATTTAAATTAAAATGATCATGAGGTATGCTAGTACATAACAGCTTTGGTTTTAAGCATGAGGCTGTCGTTTTCAAAGTAGAATGATTTACTTTAGTGCATCCAACTTCAGACACTCTTCCCATGTGTTCCCTCTAGGTATGAAAAACAATAGTATTTTGTCTAAAGGCAGTTATATATATAAAAAAACAAAACTAAAGCAAGCACACGTTTTTCAGGGCTCAGATAAACTTGTTTCTTACTTATATAATAAAATATAACTACTTTCTGTTTGAAATGAAATTATCTGATCTAGATCCACGTCACAGTATCATCCTCAGTCTGAAAAATTTTGGGATTAAGAGATGAGCTTTATTCTATTTACTTTCTCTTTCCTAGTTCCAGCAGTGGTTACAGCAAATATGAGGCAGCTTTAACATGACCCCGAGAGTTTCTTTCCCTTTCTGACATATCTCTCCTGCTGACAGTGGGCGTGTGGGAGTGGTGGGCCACAGGAGGAGAATTCATATTCCTGCATAACAAAAACATTTTCCAGCGTACGAATCTTTCCTTTTCACACTTTGGGAGAAGTGAGAGTACAACTATGTATGAGGGTTTTTTTTGTAAACTTGCTTTTCCTTCGGCAGGGCTATACACATCAAGAGAATTTTTTTAAAAAGGGCAAACGTGTTCTGATCCCACATTTATAAAATGATAGACATGATCTCTCTCAAGCAATTAACTTTTCCCTTCAGCATGTCAGTGATAACAGCACTGCTTTTAGGTTGAGGGGTGTTGCAGATGGCCAGACAGGTGGTCAACACAGGTTTGTAATACACCAAATAGCTGTTGTGGTTATAGGTATAGAGCTCAGGTTCTGGTTAAGCTGAATGCCTGACAAGTACACATTTGGACCTGTAAAGTCTTGCAGCTTCCTAATTTATAGTTACTGCTATGAATTGTACCTGTTGTGTGTCTATTCAATGCATTCTTTTAGATCTCTTTCAAATAGGCATAAACATGATCAGTGCTGATCATTTTCACTTGCTGATTCGTGCATTCCTCAGGCAAATTTTGTGAATACTGTCTTGTCATAGATCTATTATTAAAGTGTCATGTCACTGAGCTGTGTGAAATTTTTAAACAGTGCTGTGAGTCAGCGTTAAGGCAGGAGGGGAAAGAGCATCTGTAGCACTTAGATTCACATACCCTTAGAGCTGTTTTATGGTAATGGTCTTACGGTTACTGTCTTTCTGATAAGGTGAAAGACTTGATCCAACAGCTGTAAACATCCTGCAGCAAATCATTGAGTTGGGTTCGGAAACCCATGATGCCACTGCAGTTGCTTCTGTAGTTACCATGGCACCCGGCACTGTGACAGTGGTGAAACAGGTAAGAGCTCTTTTCTTCTCTAAAAAAGCTATATTTCATTTTCCTATATTTATTGTGAAATGAGTATTGTTTTGCAAGGGTTAAATTTTGAATCACTGTGCAAGATATACAGAATTATTCCTAAACTAATTTTTGACCACATGTTGTGTATAGGTATGTTTATATGTATACCCACCTACATGCTTATGCATATATACACATATATGTTTATATGTATAAAAATGCCAATGTTTTTGCAGGTATATAAAATATGAGTGACCAAATACACACATATATGTTCGTATATGTGTGTATACGTGTGAGAAAACAGAGCTTTTCTCTAGCAGATGTTTTCAGGCTTTTTAAAATAGCCTGCCTGCATTGTGGGTGGGCACTTAGTCCCATTCTCATCTAAAAGAGTCAGGAGGTCCTTGGCACAGCACTCATGCACATGCAGAAGAGTTTGAAAGGGTAGTGTTTGTGCACGACTATGCATGCTCTGCAACCATAGTACTGTAGGACCATACCCAAAGATGAACCATTGTCATTAGTCTTTGCAGTGCTGTCCTGTGGCTGAAGTTAGAAGGACTTGCAGAGTCATAGAATCATAGAATGGTTAGAGTTGGAAGGGACCTCAAAGATCATCTAGTTCCAACCCCCCTGCCATGGGCAGGGAAACCCTCCGCTACACCAGGTTGCCCAAAGCCTCATCCAACCTGGCTTTGAACACTTCCAGGAATGGGGCATCCACAACTTCTCTGGGCAACCTGTTCCTGTACCTCACCACCCTGAGAGTGAAGAATTTCTTCCTTAGATCTAATCTAAATCTCCCCTCTTTCAATTTAAAGCCATTGCCCCTTGTCCTATCACTACATGCCCTTGTAAAAAGTCCCTCTCCAGCTATCCTGTAGGCCCCCTTTAGGTACTGGAAGGCTGCAATATGATCACCCCGGAGCCTTCTCTTCTCCAGGCTGAACAGCTCCAATTCTCTCAGCCTGTCTTCATAGCAGAGGTGCTCCAGCCCTCGGATCATCTTCGTGGCCCTCCTCTGGACCCGCTCCAGCAGCTCCATGTCCTTCTTGTGTTGGAGACTCCAGAGCTGAACGCAGTATTCCAGGTGGAGTCTCACGAGAGCTGAGTAGAGGGGCAGAATCACCTCCCTCAACCTGCTGGCCACACTTCTTTGGATGTAGCCCGGGATACGGTTGGCTTTGTGGGCTGCCAGTGCACATTGCTGGCTCATGTTGAGCTTCTCATCCACCAGCACTCCCAAGTCCTTTTCCTCAGGGCTGCTCTCAATCCATTCTTCGCCCAGCCTGTACTTGTGCTTGGGATTGCCCTGACCCACGTGCAGGACCTTGCACTTGGCCTTGTTGAACTTCATGAGGTTCTCACAGGCCCACCTCTCCAGCCTGTCAAGGTCCCTCTGAATGGCATCCCTTCCCTCCAGCGTGTCCACAACACCACACAACTTGGTGTCATCTGCACACTTGCTGAGGGGGCACTCGATCCCACTGTCCATGTCACCAACAAAGATGTTAAATAGCACTGGTCCCAGTACTGACCCCTGAGGAACACCACTTGTCACAGGCTTCCACTTGGACATCGAATCATTGACCACAACTCTTTGAGTGCGGCCATCCAGCCAATTCCTTATCCACCAAGTGGTCCATCTGTCAAATCCATGTCTCTCTAATTTAGAAAGAATGATGTCATGCAGGACAGTGTCAAATGTTTTGGACAAGTCCTGGAAGATGGTGTCACTTGCTTTTCCCTTGTCCACCTATGCTGTAACAGAAAGAGTTGCCAGGCATTGGAACAGGCTCCCCAGGGAAGTGATGGTGTCACCATCCCTGAGGGTGTTTAAAAGACGTGTAGATGTAGTGTTAGGGACATGGTTTAGTGGTGGACTTGGCAGTGTTAGGTTAACAGTTGGACTTGATCTTAAAGGTCTTTTCCAACCTAAACTATTCTATGATTCTATGATGATGAATATTATTATTCCTCTTTTGATTTTCTATACAAATCAATGTTTTATCAAAGTCTGTTTGATCTGTCATATACCTTTAGTTTCCAGTCTTGTCTTCCCACCAGAAAATTGCTTCAGAATTACAGCCACACCCGTTTTTAATTTGAGGGGAAGAAGTTTTTAAATGTTATTAACGAGTCTGTAATCCTCTCCTATTCAGAACTGACACCATTTCTTTCTGCTTCAGTACTGAGTTGGTTTTTGTGAGATATCACTCATTTCTCCTTACGACTTTATCAGGTTTTAATTATGTTGAGTTCCTAATTGTTAACCTTGAAGTGATCTTAAGACATGTTCATATTTCACTTTTCTACTGGAAAATTTATTCCACGCTTTCTTCTGTGACCTTCAGCTTCTTTTGTGGATTGTGAGACAAAAAATTCAGTCAGGGTGTCAGCAATATATCAGCATCATCTGTCACTGAATTTCCACTCTTGTTCTTTAATGGCCTTACTGAGTCCTTGCTTAGCAGCTTGGTTCCATTTTTTTTCCTTATCAACGTTTATTGTAGTTGTTCTGATTTTTACACCATTATGTTGTTTTCTTTCTTTTTCTCTGAGGATATACATTATCCACTTTTTTTATCAGTTCTTACCTTCATATCTCATTTTTAGCTAGCCCTTGCAAGTTGCCTTCGTATTTCTGTATTTGCACCAAGAAATTTGTTCTAAATTATTAGAATTTTTTAAAAGTATTTTTTTGCTGTAAATGTTACGCTGTATTGTTGTGATCTTTGTCGCTCCTTTCCTCACTGGAACTTTCTCCCACACCTGTCCTCTTCCTTACTTTTCACCCATAAAAGTAACATTTACACTTGAGCCTTAAAATTCTGTGTGAATCTAGATGTATCTGTTGGTAATGCTGCCATCTTTACCCTTCAGCAGTTCCCCTGCTCTGTGTGCCCAGGTACCTTCAGCGTGCAGTATCTGTAGTGGTTTAGGTTGATGTAACTCTTTTGCCTGCAGAAACAAACTTTGTCTTCATCCTTAAGTCCTTTGCAGCATATGGCAAAACATCCAATGTATTAGCTAGATCTGACTGGTATATTTTTAAAATTGTTTTCTACTAAGTCACAAGACAGAAAAGTTACCATGTTTGAATGTTGTTCTATTAAATTATTGCTCTGGGTTGTATGCAGTCTCACTGCATGTATCTTAAATCATGAGTACACGTTATAGTGGAGGTGAAATCAAGATCAGATAGCCTATTCAAAGCCCCCAGCTCCTGAATTGGGGATTGAGAAATAAAAAAAAATCAGTTCTCACTTTAGAAACTTGATATTTTTTGTTCACAGGAATGATTTTATAAGAGAGAACACTTTGACAACATAGCAGTAACCAATGCCAGCCTGAATCGGGATTCAGCTTATGATTTAAAAAAATCGGGATTCAGCTTATGATTTGCACTTAAACCCAAAAAGTGCAAAGTTAGCCCTATTTAGCTTGAATTAGGATTGAGAAATAGGAATCATTGTTGGCTCCAGTATCATCATGAGTATGAGGCTTTTCAAAGGTTGTGTCTAGAGCCCGAAATCACTTTCATTCTTCCCTGAGAGCCAGTACACTAACCTGTTAAAAGTTAAACTTTTTCTGGTATCTAATTTGGGAGAAATCTTGTTGCGTGATAACTGTGAAAACATACAGCTGCTAAGGAACGTAATACACACCAAATGCCCAAGAATAACACCTTAATAATGTGAAGTTTTACCAGTATGATCTGAGATTGGCAAAAATCCACACCGAAGCTTTGATCACAGCATGGCAGAAGTGTATCCTGGTCAGTCTGAGTCCTTTTTAGTTACTAGTGATCCACTCTGGATCTCTTTCTGACAGAGATAAGGAAGATATTTGTTTATGGCATGGTGTTTAAGTTGTTCTGCACTGCCTAAAGACCAAAAAAAGTAACAAAGTGGGGAAAAGGTGAGAGTAAAGCGTGCTAAGTTTGAAGAATAGCTAGGAAAGAAGCTAAAAAATGCTTAGAAAAGGCAGGAAATAATGTTTGTAGTGAACAGTAAACACAGACAAGAAATTGGGGCGAGAACAGTTTTGTGGGAGCAGCACATACCGAGGCGGAGGGACTGGAAACATAAAACAAGTGACTTCACTTTCTACGCGTTTGACTCTGTGTCCTATTACAGAAACACTTTTGTCCTCCTGTCTTAGAGTGGAGATGGATTCATTTGATTTGTTATTTATTTTACTGGCAGAGGCTGTTCAGTTCATTATTTATACAGGTGGACTATTTCACTAGCTCATGTGCTGAATATAAAGGCAGGACTGGAGGATGAGCCGTCATACCAGTATCACAGCCACCCTTCATTTACAGTTTCTGCAGGGCTGTGTTCAAAGACTTGTTTGTCCCACAATATATCTGTGTGTAGACTAGAACAGAGAGAGAGACTGTTGAACTACAAACTACCTCGATGTGTAGTTTTTTCTTTCAGTTAGCATAGGCATGAGATAAGGATATTAATTGATCCTGAAGAAGTTTGTTCCAAGTTAAACATTTGCTTGATTTAAATGCTGAGTTTCTTGTAAAGACGTGTCTCCCTCAGAAATGAGCACTTCTGTTACCTCATTTTTGACAGAGGAGACTCTTTCAGCATGTGGTATCTGTAAGGTATTCTCCAGAGAGACAAGATTCAAAGTGCATTTTCTTGGTTTCACAATATGAACATTCTTGAAAGCTTATTTCCTGAATCCCTCTCTGCATTGACCAGAACATTGGAACAGTTGTCTCTTCTCGGTCTGTGTCCATCAGCTCTAGTTTTTGTTACATTTGTTGTTCTTCCATTTCCAGCGCTTGTTAGCAGGATATGTAATAGTAGCAAGATACTTTCTGGTTTAATTCATTTATTTTTGTAAATACAGTGTGTTACTTATACCAAATATCTTTGAAACAAAAAGTAGAAACTATGTACGGTTCTTTGTCCAAATTTGAATTTTTCTTTTTGCCTCAAATCATTGAACCAGAGCAGTAGATTTTGGATTCCTAGTCTCAACTAAAGTTTTACATCAGCGTACTGTAGTAGCCAGTTAAATTTGGTTGCATGTCATCTGGTTTTCAGACCTTTTTCGTTTAGATGCTGCTAGACAAATCTGCTGCTCATTTGCCATGTTTACATCTGTGATGTTTTATGTGTCATACGGCACCAGAGATCATTGTCCTGGTTTGAGAAACTCATCAGCAGTTGACTGTGTAAAGTTTTATATCTTTTCCTCTTTATTATTTTTCTTGTCCGAACAAGCCACCGAGTTCCCTCTTCATTCAGAGCAAATCCTGACTGTCTTGTATCCGGAGAACTGCCAGAGAGAAGAGCCATAGTCTTTCTTCTAACAAAACAGAACTAGCACCCCAAAAGCCAACTAACCTATGCCCATGGCTTTGTTCACCATGTCAACTCCCTGTTATTTTCCTTAATTTCTAATTCTTCTAAACAGTATATCTGGGTGAGCACTGCAAACAGACGTTTTTATGCCAGCTTACTTGTGGCATATGAGCATCTAAAAGCTTTAGTCAAAAATCCAGAGCTGCACATGGTAAGTAACACACAGACATTTGACTTGTGTTGTCTTTGTTCGCAAAACTACACTGCCACTCCAGACAAAGTTCTCCTGTCCCAAATAAAGATTGCATCTAAAGTTTTCCTGTTGCTCTAAAGCCATCACTTGGAGCTCACTCTGAAGATGGCCAAGAAGATTGTAGTAATCACTAATTATTATTAATCACTAAGATGATAATATCAGTCTTTCTGCACAAGTGTTCATCAGTAATTCACTTTCTTTTCCAACACTATGGGATGTAAGTCTTTCTTGTTATTAAAGCCAGAAAGCTGATGTCCTCTTCAGGTAGGATCCTTGGGCCTTGCATGCAGGTGATTAGCTAAACTGTGCTGACTTGTTCTGCATGACAACTTTTTATGGTCTCTTATTTCAACCACTTAGCTAAAATGGTTGTCTAAGCCACCATTATTTTATGCTACAATTAACTCTAATAGTCTTTTTTCTGACATTCACAGATTATGTTTTGCCCCTTTTGTATTCTTTCAGAAAAATTCAAAGATTACTTTTCTCTGCCCCTCTTGACATCACCTTCTCTTGTTCTGTTCACTTGATGTTCCTTTTTTGCCACATCAAACAAAACCTTGTTTTCATTTCTAAGGGTTTTTACTCCTTTCTGACCTAGTATCCCATTTCTCATTATCTGTAAAGATTTTGACTCCTACCTTTGCTCAGTCCATGAAGATTTAATTGCTCATTACTTTTTTCAAACAAGTTTCTTAATGCCTTCTTTCATATTGTGCTTAGTTATGTGGATTTTTAATGAAGAGCAATTTGTACCTCATTGTCTTCTCTCAATTACTCTTCAAAAATATGATGACAGTAATTAGCTGTGGTTAGGCTATTGGTATATTGGTACTAATGCATGTCACACAAAACTACCACTGTCTCATTTACGTTGTACTCCCCTACCTCCCTTTTTCTGTGTCTGCTTACTGTCTCTTGTTTTATATTGAAATTATAAGGCCTTTGGGGCATGAAATACTTTTTGCATATAACATACCTGATAGAAGCCAGGTCCTGGTTCAAAGCACTATACTAAATTAACAGTAAAGAGCAGTAATTAGCTGCTGATTTTTTTTCTCTTTTTCCCCCATTCAGAAATAAGAGATAGAACTGATATTCCTACTACCCCTGTAGCTTAGAGTGTAGGGTCATCTCTATTCCTGAGAAGCATAATAACCTATTTTCAGCCTAGACCTCTACATAATTTGCTCTGAAGAGTAAGTATATCAAATGTTTCACTAACTAAGCAGATCTTTATCAAGCTTAAGAATTAACAGTGGATTTCCATGCATTTCACCCTTTATTTTAGTTCCTTTCATCCTTTTATTCTGTGATCTCTTCAGGCGCCAGTAAAATCCTACCATGGTAACAGTCACTTTCTTCAAAGCGAGAGCGGTAGCAATGCGCAGCAAAGATTGCACGATGGTAACAGTCACTTTCTTCAAAGCGAGAGCAAAAGCAGCAAAGATTGCACATCAGCTTGAAGCTGATCACAGAACGGAATTTTAGAGTGTAACACATCTTCAAAAATAAATATCTAATAACATTAGGATGGCTGTCATGTCAGAGGCTACTGCGCACTGTACTACAGCAACACACGTTATATTTCAGCCTGGCTCTGATTTGTACTGACATGATGCTGGGGGCTGGAGTTCATCTAGAAAATGTGCCAATAATGTGGAGTTACATGTAAGTTGACTGTCAAGTTTGTGGTTGCTTTAGGACATGGTGCAAATTGATGCTTAACATGACAGTACCAGCAAAGGAAAGGTTTAACTAGGGCAGATTGCTCTGTTTTCTCAGCCTCTGTGGAGTTATTTTCATCTGTGTAACATATACATAAAATCTTATATCAAGATTACTGTCCTGTTAGAGCTTTTGAAATGATAGCAGTGTAGCCATACTTCCTCAGAAGTAAATCTCGTGATACAGAATTTTGCCAGATGAGTCAAGTTACCAGTCACAGTCTCTCTGTCAGGATATTGTCAACAAGCCAAGGCTAAAACTTTTAAAAAATCTGGATCACCAGTATGAAGATTTGTTTGCCAACTTGCATTTTTTATTTTATGCAAAGCAAGTCTTTTGTATTCAAGTCTCTTACTATTCTGAAATTATTGTGTGCCAGATTGTCCTTGTTTTGTAGCTTATTATAGAGGTTCTTATGATCAAATTACATTGTTTTCTGTGTGTCTGCATGTGTTTTTCTCTCAATATATCTATATGTAGACTAGAACCGAGAGAGAGAGTTCAAATTATTCAAGTGGCACTGAACAAAATGATAGACAGTCCTGTAGGCACTGGCATATCACGTATCCAGGTGTTCTCTGTGATCTAGAATGCTTATATTCCCATTTCCTTTTAATCCTTTTTGTAGCTGTTTTGTATATTTTCTTGCTGTGGAGTCTTATGATATAAATAGGAGCATCTGTGACCTAGTGTAAGGTTTTGAAATCCTGCAAGATCGTTGTGATTAACTTTTCTTCTTCATGGTAAACTGAAAGGCAGGGTTCAATCTGTAATCAGGGAGAAATTCTGTAGAGGATTTTGGGTCAAGACCAGCAAGACTGTTTTAAACACTATGGACCTGCACCTCCTGCTGACTTCAAAGAAAACTGAAGATACTCACTGTTTCTCAAGATGAGCTCTAGAATAAGAAAGTCGCTTTAGCATCTTATTACAAATGGGTATTTTTTACTCCATTTCAGGGAAAGGAAGAAGTCTATTTTCCTTAATGACTTGAATTAATTTCTCTCTGATTAAAAAAGACTTCTTTATTTTGAGAGGAAAAGATTCCTCAAAGAGATACCCATTTTTAATATCACATGCATTTGGATGGCCTTCAGATATTTAAATTAAGAACATTTATAATTTAGAGTTGTTGAGCTTCTTATGAAGACATGAGGGTGAAAATCTCATTGGCTTTTATGAGAGACACGTTTAGCTAGCAAAGAATATTTATGCAGGTACTGAATTGATTTAATATGCCAGCTGTGTGTGGCTTCAGCTTCGTGCTGTCATTCTTTAGCGAAGGATAAGCAGCCAGATGCTTTTCAGCTGGCTCTCAAACAGAAAAGAGGACTTGGATGCTACTCTTCAAAAGATTTCAGATGCCAATAAAAAGAATGGAGTATAGTGGCTTCATTCATTCTGATGGCAGCTGTCCCACTGTTTCATCAATTTAGGGGATGTAAATTAACGTTTTGAGATTATTCCCTGTGGAACAATCTAATAGGAATGAAGCAGAAGCATGTAAACATTGAATTGATTTGAAATGTAAATATCCGAAATAATGCGGTGATTTGTCAAACTAAAAGAATCACAGATAACTGTCCAAAAAAGATACTGGAAGCCAGAAACACCAGAAATAAGGACGTAAGTCTTCTTTACCCTGCATGACAAGGGCAATAAAACCACATCGATAAAGTCAGGTAGGGAGGTTAAATTAACTTTCTTTATTGGCTATTTTCATTTCAAAAGCATATAAAACTGAATAAGTATTAGATTGCTGCTATTGAATTGAATGAGATTCTGCTTTCATTTCATTTTGGTGTCAACTGTGTTTTTATTTATTTTCCTTTCTTCCTTATTTATGTACACTTGCAAAACTATATTTAAAATTATTTATGGGCTTTGATTTAGAGTGACTAAAGTGAGACTGTATGAGATCCTTCTCAGACTGTGTTGTGCATTCTTGCAGCTCTTAGCAAATGTAGTGTAATTTTTCTGGCCTGAGTCATATTGTCAGAGGACTATATATAGTGCACTAACACAGGAGAAGTTAGTGTATATTACTTAATTAAAGAACCACAGTTTAGACACCCCTATTTCTGTATTTGTTCGAGGATCTCTAGCATCAAGGGTTGTGAGCTGATTCATAACAAATGGTGAGATTTTAATTATCTAACATTTTTAACTGCAGCTTCCTATCTGAATTCACTAGTGACTAGACATAGAATCACAGAATGGTTAGGGTTGGAAGGGACCTCAAAGATCATCTAGTTCCAACTCCCCTGCTATGGGCAGGGACACTCTCCACTACACCAGGTTGCCCAAAGCCTCATCCAACCTGGCCTTGAACACTTCCAGGAATGAGGCATCCACAACTTCTCTGGGCAACCTGTTCCAGTGCCTCACCACTCTGAGAGTGAAGAAATTCTTCCTTAGATCTAATCTAAATCTGCCCTCTTTCAGTTTAAAGCCATTGCCCCTTGTCCTATCACTTTTGCCCTTGTAAAAAGTCCCTCTCCAGCTTTCCCGTAGGCCCCCTTTAGGTACTGGAAAGCTGCTATAAGATCACCCCGGAGCCTTCTCTTCTTCAGGCTGAACAGCCCCAACTCTCTCAGCCCATCTTCGTAGGAGAGGTGCTTCAGCCCTTGGATCGTCTTTGTGACCTCCTCTGGACTCACTCCAGTAGCTCCATGTTCTTTTGTTGGGGACTCGAGAGCTGAACACAGTATTCTGGGTGGGGTCTCACGAGAGCAGAGTAGAGGGGCAGGGGGCAGAATCCCTTGCTTGACCTGCTGCCCATGC